AGCTGCCTACTTTAGCCCCCAGCAACCACAAGGCAGGTGCTGACCCCTCCTTAGGTTGGGGGGACAGGCTCAGAGAAGGCAAGCCCCCACCACACAAGCTGAGACTCAAACCCAGCCGAGCTGTCTCCACACCTGTCCCGTGAATGACCAGACAGCACGGCCCCTCACTGTGTCCACCACCAACAGGAGGGGCAAACTCCGGGCCTTCCCTGCACTCTGCCATGACGCTGACGGGCCAGCAGCCCATTCTGGGTCCTGGTCACTGAGTCACTTGCTCGGCAATGTGGGGTGGCAGCCCAGAGCTTGGGGGCTGGGCACTGGGGCATGAGCCCTGCTGCCACTTGACCTCCGAGTGTCCCCATCCCACTCCGGAGAGCAGGCAGGACAGCAGACCTGGCTCACAGGGTGGCTGCAAGAGCCACATGAAGTAGGGAAGTGGAGCTGGCGCTTGCTTGTTGAGCACCGGCCATCGCTACTGGCACCAGACATCCATCGGACCGGGCCATGCCCTGCGCTGGACACGGGACGCACGGGAATTGGCGAGGCAGACAAGGCACCCGGCCCGAGCTGCACACCCAGCACCCCAATGCCTACCTTGGTGGTGGCCATGGTCACCAGATCCACCCTGGCGTGGGCTTTGCGAAGCACGTGGTGGCTGCCTGAGGCGTTGGTGAAGATCTCCACACCGTCCAGGCCCATGTCGACATGCGGGCTTGGAGCAGAGCAGGAGAAAAGGGGGTGAGCTCCCCAACCCACCCTCCCAGCCCCGCCAGCTCCCGGGGCGTCTACACAGCCCAAGGCCACAAGCCCAGGGCGTCTGCAGATCCCTGTCCTCCCCGAGGGCTGAGGCTCAGCGGCGGGGCTGACCTGTGGGGGGTCCAGAGCTCCTCGCAGATCTCACTCCCGATGCAGGTGTCCCAGGTGGCCAGCACTGCATCTCCAAAGGGCACAGTTTCCTGTAGGGGGAGGGCAGGATGCACAAAACCCCCTGGCTGGCCCATCTGGGCTGCATCGTGGCCCAGCACTCCAATAGCCATTTTAAGACTTCCATGAAGGCCACGCTTCCGTTTCAAGCCCCCAAGGAGCCCTTCCTCACCTGGAGCTCCCAGCGCAGGGGGCCCATTGCCAGGCGGCCCTGCTCTGCGCCCACCACGACCGACCCGGGAGAGGCCGCAGCAGTCCCTCCTCCCCGGGAGCGGCCATGGGCACACGCTGCCTCCATCGTTGTTAGTACTAATGGCCCTCGTTTATTAAGGGCTCCATGTGCGTGTCTGACAGCCATGTTGCTAGGCAATAAACCCAGCCCTGTCACAGATGCTCAGTGGAGGCTCACAACGTGCACAAAACCCAACCAGAGCCCCCCAGCTCCTGACGTAGGGCCAGAGGACATGCAGGCGCGTCATCTCCGAGAGCCACACTCATAAACCACGCATGGTGGGAGCTTCCAGGGCAGGGCAGAGCCTCCCTACGACTGCGCGGCTCTGGCAAGGTGCCGAGATCACGAGCCCTGACTGGGTACATGGGCGGGGATGGAAATGCACTGAAACCAGGAACCCACGTTGGCTGGGGCGCGGCATGGCCACCTGTTACATCTGTAACACCTGCGCCTCAGTTACCGGGCGCCTCAGTTACAGCTGTGAGGTCACTCTGCTTGGCCAGCAGCCCCCCGGGGGCCGGAGCGCTCCCAGAACCCTGGGTCAGGCTCCCTGGAGGGTTTGAGTTCAACGCCCTCCATCACGGAGGGTGAGAACCGTGGTGCAGGCCTGGCCTTTGTCCTCGGTGCCTCATCCCGGACAAATATTCACTTGGGCTGCAAGGAAAGTCATCACCACATGGCCCTATGCTGGCATGGGCATCACCCAACCCCCGGCACCTCACAAACCCAGCCACAGCGGCGGGCTGGGAGCCTGCCCCCATCCTGCCACGACAGGATCAGGCTTGGAGCACCACGGGTGGTCACGGAGCATCTAGGAGGGCTCAGGGACCCACGCCTGCCTGAGCCGTCCACCCGGGAGCATCATTGGCTTTTTACCATTGAAAATGCCCCAACCTTTAGTCCACATTCACCTGGGGCCAGTTCCTGCAACTCACCCCTCACCAACCAGACCACAGCCCCACGCCAGCTCAGCAGGCCACCAGCATGCTTTCTAGGACGTGACAGGGTCATGATTCTAAAATGTGCTAAGTTCATTGTCAGAAAAGCTTCTGGGCCCCTTGGGAGGTGACCATACCTGGCTAGAGTCCCTTTCCCGATCCTGGCATGCCCATCTCTGCTTGTGGAAGGCACTAGCCCCAGCTGGGCCCTCAGGGAGCCTCTCTCAGGGATCAGAACTGGTACCAGACACAGTCTGGCTCCTGAACAGAGGCAAGTTCAGCCCAAGGGCTGGATGGCACTGTTCTCCAGGGAGGCAGGGGCACCCCTGAAGGCAAAGAGGACAATGAAGAGGGGGCTTGGAGCCCCCCCACTCAGCTAGATCTGTGAAGTCCAGCTGTATCCTGCTGAGCCACAATCTCGTGCATTCAGAGCGCCCTTATGAGCTACCTTGAGTAATTGGGGGCACAGAGAATCTGGCTTGGGAAATAACCATCTCCTGCTCAAATTCCCGTGCTGGAGTCCTGAGCCCAGCACCTCGGAATGTGGCTGTATTTGTAGACGGGGTCTTTACAGAGGGGACTAAGGTAAATGAGGTCACAGGGTGGCTCTGACCCAATCGGACTGGGGTCCTTGTAACAGGAGGTCAGGACACAGACATGCAGAGAGACGGCCACGTGAGGACCCAGGGAGAGGATGGTGTCCACACGCGCAGGGGAGAGGCTCCGGGAGCTGGCCCTGCCCACCTCTGGGTCTCAGCCTCCAGCCCCAGGCCTGGGTGGTAATGAACACCTGCTGCTCAAGCTGTCTGGTCAGAGGTGCTGCGGCAGCCTAAGCAAAGGAATACACTTGGCATCCGGAAGGGCAGCTCAGGCAGGAGCCCCCACAGCACACCCCCTGTGCCCCGGCTCCCAACCAGCCGAGGGAAGTGGGGAGAACAGGGTCCCAGCTGTACCCCCCAGGAGGAAGAGGATAAGGATACGGCTGCAGGGTCAAAGCTCCACGGGCCCGACCAGCCAGGTTCCAAAGACAAGCCAAGGCAGGTTTCTGACACTGGGCTTTCAGAGAATGACAGGCGGCCAGTAAATGATTCCATGGGTTTGGGATGAGAACCCCCAAACTTGGCTTCTTGGGCAATCCCTGGGCCCAAGCCCAGCCTGCTAAGGCAGGTGCCCCTAAGCTCCCACCCTCGTTGGTGTTCCTGGGACCCCCTCCCCACTTGGCACAGAAATGTTCCCACCTTGCTCCTTACCTACACTAGCTAGGGTGGTTTCTGTGACTCTGGCCCAGAGGGTCCTGCCCCACAAAAGAAGAGCTTTGCCCCCAGGGCTCACCTGCTCCGTGAGGTCCTGTATCATCCGCGGGAGAAAATACTCCTCTGTTTGCCTGGAAAGGAGAACACCACAGATCTGAGGGGGACCGTGTCCGGAATCACGCAGGACGGCATCCGACGTGACCACCTCAAGTCTTCTCTGCCTCCCGGGGCCCCAAGACCCTGTGAGCCCTGAAAGGCCGTGCTTAGATTTGGGGTCCACCTAAGGACATGGTGAACACAAGTAGATTCTCAACTCCCTGCAGTCAGGAACTGGGTCTTTCTTCTGTTTTCCTGAGAGGACCCGAAACGGCTCCTTGAGCCTGCCGTGTGCTCATCACTAAGCCATTTTATCGTCACCAGCTGGGCCCAGCTCCCCGAGGGTGAAAATCTCTGTCTTTTTAGCTGTACCGAAACTAAGTCTCAATATCCAGATCCATCTCCAGCTCAATATCCACCACCCTTGCTACAGGCATATCTGGATGAGTATCAGCTGGGGGGATTCAGCACGACACCCACACAACACAAATGCAGAGAAAAAGGAGCAGATACGTCTAGTCTCCAAGAAATCAGAGACAACATAAACTGATGCGAGATCTCAAGGAAAAGGTGATGAGACAACAGGAGATAAAAAGTGAGCCTGCAAACCGTGAAGAGCATTTGAGACATTCAAAGCATCTGCAGATACGAGGGGTGCATCAGAAGCATCAGAATCGATCCTACTGCGGACACCGCACAGAGGATGCATTTAGGCGGATGAATCCACAAAGCAAATGAGGAGACAGCAGCTGTCAGACTGTGGACGACGGGTATGGAAGGCAGAGGGCAGGGATGGAAACACCAGTGACGGGGCTTCTGCAGAGCAGAACAGAGCACAAGGACAGGATCCTTCGAAAACAGAAGATAAGAAAACGTTCCTAAAATAAGACCTCAACGTAATGTCACGAAGACTTCCCATGGATCAAAAAGAGATCAATACTGAAGCTCTCTCCTTAGCAGTGGCGTTGAGCTTGCTTTGTTTGTATTTCTTTGCAGTTTTCCAGGGGCACATGCACATACCCTTACACACGCTGCGGTCAGGTCTCTTGTTCTCAGATGGGACAAGCTCAAACCCCACTGCAGATACGCTGCAGCTCGCTTTTGTTCGACACTGACGCTGGTTTATCCAGGCTCCGGCAGGGTTCACTCTCCCCCACTGGGTGGCACTGGCACACAATCCCTAGCACGCAGGGAACAGGTGGCTGGTGGGCAGTGGGGGCACCTCTCCCCTTCACGAGGTGACACCCAGCTGTTTCCAAAGGGCTCCTGCCGGCACTGGGCGGGTCCTCCTGTGTTGGGATCCCTTGCCAAGACTGGGAACCCCCAGCTCTTTGACCACCGATCCCGTGGGGCAAAAAGAAACCTCAGGGTGCTGTCGGTTTGCACTGTCCTGCATCTAACGGTGCTGAGCGCCCATTCCACATCTGTGGGTTCTAGGGATCACCTAGAACATTGCTCCAGAAATGCTGGGCAACAGTATTATAAAAATAAGCTGAGAGATGCCAAAGTTGGAAAGGAGAAGTAATATTCATTGTACATTATGTAATTTTTACTGAAAAAAAAAATGAAGAAAACCTGTAAAATAATGACTAGACACAATGAAAGAATGCAGTGAGGTGGCCAATTACAAAAGCTACACAGAAAAATTCAAACTTGAGCTGCATAAAAATATTAACCACTTCAAGATACATTAGATGCCACTGACAGCAGCAGCCACAGTAAATGAGCAGTGGTGACCGTAGCAAGATGGGGCGGGTTTCTCAGCCAGCCGGGTTTTGCCCCAAGGGGACAGTTGGCAATGTCTGGAGACATTTTAAGAGGTCATACTGGACGTTATCTATGAGGAGATGGCCCGGGGTGGCTCTCCATGCCTCTCCATGCATAGGACAGCCCCCCACGAAAGGACGATCCAGCCCCAGGGCAACCCTGGTATGTAGTATCAAGATATGAAATGACTGGTGACTGAGTTGTACGTGGTCTGTGATGAAATGGGCTATCATTTGATCCACAGCATCCGAACAGCCATATTGCAATGGACCCTGGAGGGCAGGGACTGTACCCCGAATTTTCCTGTGTCTGCCCCATGATCTGGACCACGGTTATGCAGAGATGATGCCTGATAAAACACCCAGTGAGCGGGCGCTGTGACTCACCGACTCTTGGACCACGGCGTAAACCAGCGCAGCTCACGGTAATTGCCTTCGTTTGCCAAGGCCATTTTGGGTCTGATGAGCAGGATCCTCCTATGGGCAGGGGACAAGACGGGTCTGGAGGTGGACACACCTGTGACAAGGGGCAGCCCGTACCCCCACCCACCTAAGCCAGTGGACAGGCCAGCACAGGGGAGGCTCAGCGCCCTACAGGCAGCTCACTCTTGTCTGGAGTCTACTGGGAAGATAAGACTGCCTACCTGGCAACAGGGCCGTGCGTCCCCAAGCTGCACCCTGTGGTCTCTCCCCCTAGTTCCCAAAGGTGTCAGGGTGGCACGGACCAGAAGAAGCATGGCCTCCCGGGTCTCCTGCCTGGTACACGCGCCCTCTCCGAGGACCAGTATTTCTAGAGGCCTCCTAGCCTGCGGCTCCCAGGGACCAAGCCACAGGGCACCCGCATGAATGCTCACAGCCCCCCAGAGCCTCGGGGAGGCATGTGGGTCCCTCCCCCTACCTGTTGAGAGGCTCCCGTGGCCACCTACCTGTTGAGAAATATCACCCTGCAGTTGTAGCGGACATTCCGGTGCATCACTGGCCTGCAGAGAGAGGGCACACGCCGGTCTGCAAACAGCAGAGGCCCCCATCTGGGCTGGCGGGGCGTCTCCTCTGCAGCTTTCTCAAGTAAAAGCTAAAAACCGACCCCAGCACTTCTGCCACGGCCTAGGCGCTGAAATGGGAGCATTCTCCTAAAGGGAGCACAAAGCCATTCCCCACGCAGGGCTCTGCCACTCTCGCTAGAATGTGTTCAGACCTCCCAGCGGCGGCCTCCCTCCCTTTGCTGGCATTCTGGCCGCCTGGCAACTCTCCATCCTTTCCTGGCCTCGTGCACTGGCCCCTGCGCCTCCCGATTCTCCCTCAGCACACCTCCCAACCTGCCCCTTCTGGAAGGCAGCTGCAGGGCGTGGGCCCGGGCACTGCTGGTTCCTGGAGCCAGGGGGCAGGGCGGGGTGCAGAGTGGGTCTGTCCATGGCTCAGGGTAGACCCTGCACTTCATGGCTCCTCCCTGGCTTCCTGGTGTCTGCCCCCTCTGCAGGGGAGGGCTCGCACTCCGCTGGCAGACACGGCAGGGCTGGCAGGGCCTCGCCTGGTGAAAGCCTGGAGCTCAGGGCCAAGCGGCCAGCCCCAGACACCTTCCAGGAGCACTGAGCGGAGGGAGGGTCAGGTGGGAGTGAATGAGGTGAGCCAGCAAATGCCAGGGAGAAGGGGAACAAAGCTCGGTGCAGGAAGAACGGACACAGGCCATTGCAGGTGTGGCTGTCAAGTCAGGGAGCCAGTTCCGATCCCAGCTTTGTCACTGGCTGAGTCAGGCTGACCTCGGAGACTAAAGGGCAGGATGCAATGGGGGCGCCCCTCCCCAGTCCTGGCCGGGGCGCGCGGACAGACCCCCATATGGCCTCACTCCTCCCCAGAGCCTAACCAAACGCGCTATGTCCACATTTGGACAAAACGTGTACAGAGTGTGAGGGAGACACATATTTTAAAAAGAACAGCCCACAGTGAATATCTGGTTTCTAACTGGAGGGGGACTCTCAAACAAAAACAAGCAAATAATAAGCACAACAGAATTTTAAAGCTTAAAATATAAACTATTAAATAGCAAACAACATGCAAGGAAAAGTATTTTTATCATAAACGGGAACGGGTGCGCACATGCGGAGGACCTTCTGGGAGAACAGAGTTGCCTCCCAGAGCCGCCTCCTCTGTGCAGCATTTGGTGTCTGCAGGGCTGGACGGGAAGAAAGCCCACCCTCCAGCACAAGGCCTTTGTATCTTTTGAGATGTGCAGTCCACACTCGTGGCGCGGGACAGGTCCTGTCTGGGCTTCCTTATCACGTCCGCTGGCACTTACATTCCCACGTCACAGATGATGTCCTGGGTGACTGGAGATTCCAAAAGGGCAGCCAGGACTTGGAGCGAATGCAGGAGGGTGTCCGACTCGTAATAATGATCCCAACATCCGTAGCCACTGCAGAGGGAGGAGCAGGCAGTTGAGCCTCAGAGACACCCGGGGGAGCCCGGGCAGGGGGGCAGGGGCCTGTGGGCTAACCGAGTGAGGCTGTGCGGGAGTGACGCTGAAGTGTAGGCACATTTTAAAGCCTCCCGGGTGCTTCTATTGTGCGACTAGAGTTAGAATCATTGCTACAAGAGACGATGCATTTTGCAGGAAATTAAGAAAAGTCGGGCCCCACCCCCTTCTCTTAGGTGTAACAATGATTAATTCTCACATCAAAAAGCATGTGCCCTTGGATTTTTGTTTTAAACCTTTAATATGGCCAAAATCACACTGATCTATGAAAAAGAATGCAAAATAAACAAAGCTGTACCCATGGAAAAACATTCTTTAGGCAAGAAAGATCTTTAATAACCATTCAAAATCCCACTCACACAGCTGCTGCTGAGTTTCTTGCTATAGAAGCTTGAAGTGGGCTAAATAGTGTCCCCGAAAAGGTATGTCCAGGTCCCAAGCTACAGAGCCTCTGGATGTGACCTTACTTGGGAAAAGGGTCTTTACAGATGTGATTAAGGGGCTGGAGATGAGACCACCCTGGATTATCTGGGCAGGTCCTAAAGCCAGTGACAAGTGCCCTGAGAAGAAAGGAGATGACGAGGCAGAGGCGGGAGGGGCACGGCCACGAGGGACTGGGCGCTGGAAGCTGGACAGAGGCAGGAAGGACCCTCCCCTAGCGCCTCTGCAGGGGGCAGGGCCCTGCCCACACCCTGATGTTGGACTTCTGGCCTCCTGCACCGTGAGAATCCACTTGTGTTGCTGTGAGCCCCCTGGTTTGTGACAATCCCTTACAGCAGCCCCAGAGAACCTAATGCGATGATCAGAGATGTCATAAAATGTGAAGGCTGGGTTGAGGGCCATTTCTTGGTATAGACTAATAATAAAATGCAGAGTATTAGTAAACCAGTTCTAATCCTCAGAAAGTTTTCTTTCCTACCATGCAGCAGCTGGGAAGCAGCGTTTCAAATGCTGAGCAAACTTCGCCCACATGAACATGAACCTCCAAACAGGCATTTGCCATTTTCAGTGCCTGCAAAAGCATTCGTCTCAGCCTCTGGTTCTGAAGAGAGGGAAAGCCCTGGTTGCCAGGTGAAATCGGGGCTGAGGCCTGGGATGTCCTCTCTAAGGGACGGGCGCCTGTCTCATGGGTCCTCGCTCCCAGGGAGCTCCGGGCCACGTGTGACGGCAAACCACAGTGCAGCCAGACACCCTGGGCTGAAGTACAGCCACCGGCCTGCCTCTCACCCTCCGGCTGGCCAGCAGCGGGAGGGGCATTTTATAGCAGGGACCGATCACTTAGGACCCGCAGTCCACTTTGGGTGGAAGCCTTCCATATGCAAAGCCTGCCAAAGTGGTTCAAGGCACGCAGCTGGCCTTTCTGGCAGCCTGCCCGGTGGCACCAGCTGTTCACTCCCCTTCCAGGTGCCCCTTCTAGGGTGGGAACGGCATCCCCGACCGGCAGGGACAGGAAGAGCTGTGCTCAGCGATGCGACTTGGCTCCCCTCCCACCTCGGTTTCCTCTCTGCGAACTGTGCCTCATGATGACCCTGAACCTGCTCAGCACACGGTGAACGAGAGCCCAGCTCTGCCGGGTCCTTTCCCTGCTTGATACAAACACATCATCCTGGGGCCCTTTAGTGGAGAACCTCCCCCTTCTAAAATGACAGGTCCAGACTCGGGGGCTGAGGTGGGGAAACAGGACAAAGAAAGGGACGAGGGTCTCCCTGGAAGCACGTGGGCAGTGATCCCGCTGGGTGACCGGGCTGCTGACTGCAACCCCTCTGGGCGATGGAATGACAAAACGTGGAGATGAAGCCAGGAGCTCGAAGGAGAGGTCCCTAGAAGGTTCTGGCCTTGGCAACCCAGGATCCCAGGGCCTGGCAGTTAGATGAAGAACTTCTTCAAGACCAAATTCAATGAGGGTGTAAATGCTCTGGGATGTTATAGGAAACACAGCCTGAACTGAAGTCAGAATTCCAAGGATAGAAATCAACCTGAGGAAGACAATGACCTGGAAAGAACAGATGTGTCCCCAAGGGCAAATACAAAAAACACCTGAGAGAAGACGGTCCTGTTTATGCCAAGTCCTGAGGCAAGAATGAGCCAAGGCAGGGGACGCGACTGGCTGGGACCCGCAGAGACCGGTGTGGAACCAGGGCAGCAGAGAGGGCAGCTGTTACCCCAAGTCAGCAAAGCACAGCTTCTACAAATCCTACTGTGCAGCAACTAATTGCTTATCTTTGAATAAGGGCAGGTGCAAAGGGAATGAAGGAACCGGCTTTCCTGATCACTGCAAAAGGGCAGAGCAGAAGTGACCCTTCAACTCGCTTACAGCAAGATGCTGAGACCCTAACTGAAACCTGCTTACGGCCAGAGAGGGAAATCATGACCTGGGGAGGTGGGGGTGAATCAGAAGCAGCCCAGCTTTGAAATCAGCTGCCCCCTACCATAAAACCCTTTGCGACGGGCTTGCATTATCTGCAGGTCTCAGTATCAGCCCCTCTTCCTCTCCCTTTTGGCTGGGGGGACCGATGCCGATGCCCCTACCTGCCCACCCTGGGGTGTCTGCGCGTCTGCTCTCACCATATTTCCAGTTCTGGTCCAAGCCTGTATCTGGCTCCTTTGTGTTTGGCAATTTCAATACCTACAGGTACAGAGAAAGAGAGAAAGAGCAATTTCAGCTCCTACACACCATGTTCGAAAGCAGATAAACACTCTGCTGCAGTAGGTGTGATGATAAAAAAACAAGCAACCAAACAAACAAAAGTTCTCCCAGATCTCCCTGCAGGAAATAAGAAACAGGGCCCGCAGGGCGGACCTTTAGGACCACAGAGGAGCAGCAGGGGAACAGGAGGACGCCACACCCTGGTCATTCATAACAGCAGGTGCCGCAGACCCTGCGCAGGGAGAAGGCGGCGCTTCAAGGACCCCCACCGCAGCGGCACCCAGGCAGGCACCGGGGTCCGGGCAGCGGCTTCAACACCACTTCTCTTCACCCCAACTGGATTCGCTCTGAGCTCTGATAACATGAAAGCAAGAGGAAAGCTGGGCGGGGAGGGCGGCCATCCGAGGCACATGGCTAAGATGTGCCTTCCTGCTACCGCTCCTGGCCAGCCCTTTTGCAGGAAGCTGCTCAGCGCAAGGCGACCTGGCGGGGACCACATCTGCAGGGTCGCCCGGGTGCAGCCCCACTTTAGGTGTGGGTATGAACAGGGCAAACTTTCACCCTCAAAGGTGAGCTGGTACCAACCAACCACACCCTCGTCTCTAAGCTTGCAGGCCACCCCTCATTCCATTTCCCCCTTTGGGACGGCTTCTCCCTGTCCACCCACCAGGAAGGTACTCAGGCACCAGTGACCACCCAGCGCAGGGCACATCTTCACAACATCCTCCCTAGTGGCCGGGCAGCCTCTCCCCTCACCCAGCCACGGAAGCAAGTGTGAGTCTTCACTCAGGGGGTCAAAGGAGGCTGTGCAGGATGCCCCTTTCGGGTAAGCTGTTCTTAAGAGTCATGAAAACCGAGTTTCCGAAATGCCTCAGCAGGCTGTCCAGTGTGCCCGCGCTCTGCCTCACTGCATGAACGCTGCCCGGGGGGGCTCGGCTCTAGCTATGACACATGGGACCCCGAGATATCTGAGGGCAGGTAAGCCCAGCCCTCGCCTCTCCACCTCCACCAGCACACTTTGCTCCCCAGGCACTGTGAAGCCCGCCCCAGCCCACTTCCCGAGGAGGACCTGCGGCTTACACGGGGAGATCGTCCTTTACTATCTTGTCTGTTCCCGCGCCCAAGGCAGCGAGCGGCCGCAGCGACGCTGTGTGTGCGTCACGAGCGGGCGAGGGCTCGGCCACAGTGGACCTTCGGCCCCCCGGCCGCCCGAAGACTCACTCTTTAAAATCCTTTGCAAGTTGCCCTCAAAGTCCAAGGCCCACTGGTTGAGCGCGCAGGTGGCCACGGTCACCTTCCGGCCCATCCTGGACGCCGTCACCTGGGCAGGAAGCCGGCCGGACAGTGGTCGTTCTGTCCCAGCGAGACAGGCGGCCCCGACACCGGTACTTCCGGGTCGCCCTGCCGCGTCTTGACAGTCCGGGAGTGGACAGGACCGCAAGGAAGCCGCACCTGGGGCAGCCCGCCCTGCCCCGCCTGCCCCGCCTGCGGATAGCTCCGCCCCGCCATGCCTGACAGGGATTGGGCCAGGGACTTGACGACAGAGCCCGTGCGCCAGGCCCCGCCCCCATGTCGCCACGCCCCTCCGCTCCAGGCCGGACGGGGACTGGACTGCCGAAGAGCCGCGTCAAGCCCCGCCCACGGAGCTCACTGCCGCGCCTGCGCAGAAGGGAGGCCCGCCCCGCTTCTCCCGCGCAGGTGAAGGGGCAGGCCCGCTCCGCTGCCCCACCCCTCTGTTTTATACCACGCCTCCCCACAAACTACTCCAGAATGTGCTTCTGCAACTTGACTTTTTCCTTGTAATATTAGCTATGTTCTTTGCATTCTTTTTCTCCTTTGTGGGAAATAAAGCACAGTTTACCCATTCAGTAACGGGCGGCGTTTAAGTTATCAACAAGGTTGCGCCCACACAAACGCACTGCTGCCAGTTCCAAGCGTCACCTCTGGGGGCACTGGGTAAAATGCAGTATTTCCAGAATCTCTCGCCTGGCCTTAGGGCATCTCCATATCGCTAGGTGTTCCCCAGGGGTGGAGAGCTTGGTCCATCTCCATACAATAGTTAATTACATGGGAGCAAGAGGAAGGGGATGCCTGCTTGTATGCAATAGATGGGTTTCTCCCACTTTATTTCCCCTTTGGATGCCGGGGTTCTTGTTTG